TACGTCATCTGTATAAACATGTATTTGGAAACGGACCTCAACAGATGGAAGGTCATTGCTAAACAGAATAAAAAAGAGGGAGATTTCTATCCGAAAATATTTTCCATGATAACATCTCTTGTTATTTGAAATGGAAAAATAAGCAACTTTTCAATAATAATTTTGGGATTGCCTGTGGAAAAACTGAAGCGAATTAATTTTAAGTTTCTCTTCTAATAAAAATGGGGAGGAAAATATTAAAGCTGGCTACTATTGATCAGTTCCCGCAGACCAAAAGTTGTACAGAAATATTTTAAAAACTCCTTCCAAAATTTGTCTAAAAATTATTTTTCTATGAAAAACTTAAAAATAAGAAATGCAAAGCTGTCTATAAGTTACTTCGACAAGTAATGTTACTTATTGGCCAGTGGTATACGGTGAAGTAAGTACAATTCTAAAATGTTCGAAGGAGAGAGGCCAAAATTGTCAATTTTGCGAACTTTTTTCATTCTGCAATCCACTGTCAACATCAAAAGTATAGAGGCAATGAATAATTGGTTTGCATAATCGAGGTTAAAAGAATTTTTTAAATATTTTTGTTGCACGATGGTTGTGCGAAAAAACAATATATTTATCTTATTGTCAGATTATTTGAAATCAGATCCAGGCAATCTTAGTCTTATAATCGTAACGATTCTTCATTTTAATCAATTAAAAGTCATCGACCGTTGTTTTTTAAACAGTTAACTTCTTTTTAGGTTTTTGGTAAGTTTTTTATGCCAAAACTATTTTTTCGCTCTTTTCTTACGGGAGACAATTATTATTGATCTGGATCTTCCCCATTCTCTGCTAAGAGATATTCTTTTGCTGTAAAACAAAAGCTTAAAAAGAGAAATGTCTTAACTTAAACGATTGTCTTTCCTCTTTTTAGTTGAAGATATAATGAACTTTTTGGTTGATTAATGAGGTGAAATTTTGTAAAAAATGCGAAAGATTTGCAACACGATATCCAGACCTTAAATATACGACGGATGTTACTCTTAAAGATACAACAGCTAACAGCGGGAAGAAAAAGAGCGGAGATGCAAAAGTTATTTAACGAGCTGCAACAAGCTGCCAAGCGTTAATTAAGAAAATGATTACTATAGGGTATTGACAGTATATTCCATTCAATGCCTTGGGCGTCTTGAAAACAAAACAAAAAAGAAATTCGCTTTCATGCTTGCTAATAACAACAATTATCGATAATACATTGTAGATATGCCCAGTAGGGCTTATGCGATTTTCACGAAGACCAACTGAAAAAGAGCTGTAAAACACTACTGATTATGTAATCTATTGAGATAACGTAGTCTTTAACAAATTAAACAACTGTAATCTGATGAATAAACTCGAATTTGCCGAGAAAAAAAATGTTCCTCTTTCACTTAGCAATCGGCAATCGGTGTATTACCCAGCTTTCAATACAATTAAGTAGCAGAAGGAAGCATCAAACACTTTTTGCTCCTGTAGCTGCTACTGTTGACTTTCGTCTTCTGCAGGACAAGTATTATATGTGAGGAATCAACACATGGAACCGAAATTTTTGAATAGAAAGTATAATTTTATTGAATGCTAGCGATAAAAAATATTTTACTCGAAGTATTGCCAATCGCTAGTTATACATTTTGCTCTTTTGAATCAAACCCGTTATTGAGATATTTTCGAACATTTTGTGCTATCCGCAGCAGGTATGGGAAGCAAGTGGTTATCGGAACGCTCGTAAATCGCATGAGCTAGTACATACCATTTCAGTGCTTTTAATGTATCCCGAGCTCATTTGCATACAGAAAGAAAAAAGACAATGTGCTGCCTTTTGTTGATAGTGTGTGTTGTTTGGGCAACAAAAAAATGCTACCAGCAAATATATTTTATCAAACTACTCATTTACCTTACTTCAGAAAGTGTTTTTGTGTTGCGATGTGCGTCGATATTATGACTGCTTATTATTGCCGGATCTCTAAGCTATAATAGAAACCATAAATGTGTATCCACGTGTTATTAATCAACTATGAGCTAATTACGATTTCATATTTACATACCTTTAACAGCCTGAAATCTTATTATGGTTATCAATTGCCAAATGCGATCAAAATAGCAGTTAATAACAGAAAACCATGTAATGCGTCATTTGCGATACTTTCCTACTTATACGGCTTTTACAACTTTCTAAATTTATTATTTATTTATATGTGTTTTATGTTTATAATTATAGAAATGACCGCACTACATGATGACAAAGAAAAGAACATCTCACTCTCTTAATCTCACACTAGAATACATAATGCAAGTTTAGATACATTTTCTTTCTACGGGAAGCACGTCGTCCACCTTATATAATCACTCTTCTAGGCCGTTCTAAAAATGAACTTGGTAATATTTCTAACCGGCACGCAGCTATGAGGTTCACTCTTTTTTAATAGAAGTGAAAACGTATACTTATTAGCAGAGAATTATTGTTTAAAAAGTAAACATGCAACAGCGAAAGAGCTGGACATGGTGGAATTGTAAACACTGCTCGTCAATATTCAACAATAGAACTGGTGGAGTTCTAAATCGATCTAAGCATGTATTTATCATTAAGAAGTTCATGCTTAGCAGAGGAGTACATAGATTAGGTTTAGCAACACTAGCTATACAACCTCACCTTGTAAAGGCTTTGCTTAAATCGAATTATATAAGAATTTTATCATGGACGTCCAAAATTCAGTTTAAAGCGACAGCGGCAAAGACACTTTCAAGATCTTCAAGAAAAAAATGTAAGGTTAAACCAATCTAAATATGGTAACTTTTCTTTAAAAGCTTAGAAGGAGGGTTGCTTATTCATTCATTCATTCATTTATTTATTTAATTACTTATACATGAATCTCGACTAAAGTAAATAAACAATCGAATTTCATTCATTCTTAGAACTAAATATTATACGAATTATTATAAGAAGTAAAAAAAAAAACAAATAATTAAACAATAATTCTTGTATAAATAAATAAAAAATTAAAAAGTCATGTACATAGGTAACACAGAGGCACACCCACAACCACTAAACATCCAAGTTGAACTCCAAGAGAGAACTTCTAAACGATTGCAAAGATGCGAAAATTTGGCAATCGATAACGGTAAACAATATCAGTTATTTTTCGAGTCATAGCAAGTTATTAAGATTGCAAGTTAGTTTAAATACAACATTGGCAAATCGCGCGTATTAAGCATAGTTGTTTTGATAGACTTTAAAGAGTACAATATTGAGATTAAGTGATAGACATCTTTTAGGCGTCTTCAAACAACTTTGAACAGACTAAACAGCTCGTAGGTATATTTACATTGATTAAGCTTAATGAAAATGAAAGGCTTGGAGAAGCAATTAGGGACATTAAAGCTTTTCTCACCAAGTAATGCAGGCGAGTCAATAGTATCATTTATTGTTTTGATTAAGAAGGAAACGGCAAGAATAAATCTACGTTTATCAAGAGATGGTAAGGACAACAGAAGCAACCTACCTTCATAGGGACAACAGAGGCAATCGGACCCCAACCGAAACTCCTAAGGGCAAGCAGCAAGAATTGCTTTTGAACAGATTCAATTGAATCTACATAACGCCTATAAGAATTATGCTACACATCCGGGTCATACTCAAGCATTGGTCTAACTAAGCACATGTATAGGGTTTTTGTAATGTAAGGATCCTTAAGCTCCTTGGACCACCGCTTAACGAAACCAAGCCCAAACATAGCTTTACTTAAAGAGCCTGTACAATATAGAAATTAAAACGATATCTTTTGTCGTATAGAATCCTTAAATTGATTAACGAATCTACTTTTTTTGTGTAAATCAGTGAAATACTCAGTATTGAATGACTTTCGTCTGCAGAAAGAAAGCTTCGTGCATTTTTTAAAGTTAATTTTAACAGTTTAACGAGCACCATATAACCAAATTATTTAAGTCCATTTGAAGTAGTCGTAATCCTATCTCTTATTCCAAGAAGGAAGAAAACTGTTTAACATCGTTCGTGTACATTAAGATGTGGCTGCATTCAAACACCGAGTGGAGATCATTAATGTATAAATTAAATAAAAGGGGTTTTAAGTGACTGCCTTGAGGGGCGCTAGAGATTACGGGACACTCCTCCCAGGTAATAAAGTCAAATAGTACCCTGAATCATCTGTTATGCACATAAGAGCTTGTCCGTTTCGCTAAGTAGAAAAGGAAACCAGATGCATAGAGTTTGAACGTCAGTAACTTATGGTTAACTAAGTCAAATTCTTTACTAAAATCAATAAATACGACATCCCTGCGGGGGCCACTAGAAAACATGGCAAGTAAGCTCAAAGAGTTTTGTAACAGTGGAGCTTTCTTTCCGAAAACCATGCTGAAATGGAGATATATAAGAAAACCAAAGTGCTGAGTAACATATCGCTCAAACAATTTCGGTAAGACACTCAACTTGACGATAACTCTACAGTTTTCAACGTGATGTCTGTGAAACTTTTCTTCCGACATAAAGGGAAAATACCGGGTTTTAAGAACTTATTAGAAATCGTTGAAATAACACCGCAAAGCTCGTCAGAGCATGATGTGGGTGTACATCATGGAATGTCAATAGGCCCAGGAGCGCAAGTATATTTTAGACACCTCAAACTATGTAAAACGTCATATTCTGAAAGGACCAAGTTAGGAATCGAAACCAAGTTAATGGTCTAATGACGATAGTTAACACTTAAATGGGAATTAGCATTTGAAAAATTTAGTCGGAAGTATTCAGACACGTTAAAAGAAACATGCATGAGATATATGGAGATTTTTCGTTTGCAAAATTTTATCGTTTTTTATGAACTGAAAGTATCTGGTATAACATTGGTGGTTGAGGTAAGTGGATGTATGCCTTGCAGCAGAACCACTTTTCATAAATTTTTCGAAAACTTCGTTTTTGCTATTTTTGAAATATTTAATTTTCTTATTAAACCATGACGAACACTTGCTTCGAGGGAGGGGTAGCTTGATAGGAACGGATGCAGAAATAGCGGGTTTAATACATTATGGACCAATGAAAGTAAAGTATCAATATTCCCAGCAGAGAAATTGAACATAATATATCAAAGATGAGATTTAAGGAGAAAATGATTGGTTTTATGAAAATCACAATGTGTATTGTAGGGAGTTAGATTTGGCGCATCAGGATAGTTCAACGGACCATCGTGCCTGTAATAAAAGAAAATACAAATTGCTGGATAATACGGATCCTCAGGTATATTAAAAAATGGTCAGCGATTTACAGCTACCTCCAGGAAAGCAAAAATCTAGATGTCTACCATTACAATTATGAGTACGTTTGTATTGAAGTAAATTACGATCAAATGGAAAAACACAATCTCTATCAGATGTTGGAATGGGGACCATATAGCCAGAATTATCAATATAACGCCAAACAACTTGTGGAAAATTGAAGTCTCCCAACGTTATGATTATATCGGTAGTTTTAGACTATACGGCAAAATCATTAATGGGACAGCATATTTCTTATAAATAGTAAGTTACATATAACTATTTATTGGCAATTTTCGCCCGAATGGCAATAAATTCAATTGGATAGGATGGCAGAAGATACGGAAAATAAAACACCACCACCAGTACGATCCAATCGGTTCTTTCTGAAAACCTGGAAAGAATTGTGAAAAAGTTCCGACGAATGTAAATCCAGAGCCCAGTTTCAATGTAGGGCAGACAGGAATACTCCGTGCTTACTGAATTTAGGAAAGTAGAGCGAATTTTTGATTTTAGGCCATTAACATTTTGGTATATGGAAGTTACTAGGGAAACATTTATTTTTTTGAGGTTGGAAGAGCTACCGAATTAGTATTACGGGGACGACGCGGAGGAATGAATGTCTTAATTAAGGATCCAACTGACCGCAATGGTTTGTTTAACAAAATTTCCACATTTTCAGTCAGAACATACTTTAAAAGTCGAAGACTCTAGGTTAAGGTGGACTCAACTTGAAAATGCTTATACGCTTCAAATTGACGGATGGGACTTTTGCAGCCAAATAACTTTTCATGTTATCTACAGAGGCGCTAGGCGCCAGTATTGACACAATTGTTTTTTTTTTTTGGTGAGTACTGCCGTCAAACAGACGTCATCCGTTCTAGGAACGGAAGGATTCACATGTAGGGAATTCTGAGTTGGCGAGAAAATAGAGGTAGAGACTACAATTGCTTGTGGATCTGAACAGCTAGAAGAAAGGGCGGGTTTGTTAATTTTATTAATATTCTTTGGAGATGTAGACAGAGTTAGCCTGAACGGTGCCACAGGGAGGATATGCCATTACCATTCCAGCATGGAAATGGTAACGTTTTTTGTAGGCAAGGGTGGAACACTCGGATGAATTCACCGATGAGATTTAAGAGGTGGACCGTAAGGCGCTCTAAGCCTAAGAAAGTAGGGGATTTCATAAGAAGCTAAACGACCAGTGGAATGGACGAGTACGATCGTTTAACAAGGACTGACATCTACATTGCAATACAATACAGTACAATTTAATACTAAACGAAGTTTTGAATTTCATTTTAAAACCCCATATATACTTTGTAGATAAATTCATTTGACAATGTGATAATATATATGAAAAAAAGCAAACAGGTTTTTTTTCATGATACGATGAGTACCTAACAGAAAATGATAATTAATATTAAAAATGAAAATTGTTTATGCGCACTTACTTTCGCTTCTTAATTGGAATGTCATCCTCTGCCTCGCATATGGGAGCTTCTAAACTTATACGCAAAAAAAAGGAAAAAATGCAACATAAAGACGGCTATAATCCACCGCTGGACAGCAACGAATCGTTTGTAGAAGTGTTAGGTGGCGCGCCAAATAGGCGCAAATTTTCTTCGCTAAAGACTGCCGAACCTAAATTTGTAAAGTCAACGATATCTTCCCCGCCCACTATCAACGACACCTGCTCACTTGGTCCTCCCATTGTCTTTTGTGGAGACAATAAAATAAGTGCAAAGAAAAAGTCAGTATATTTTTTACAAACTTATGTTCGCCATCTCGCTAAATCTTTGTTCAGTAAAAATATTGAATTTAGAAGCGGTGTTAGTTGACCTCACAGCTTGTCCAGCTCATGAATCCTTTAGGCAATGTTTGGTTGGTGGCGTGTGTTCTCATGCAACATCAGAATTGAAGCCTAATTCATTTGCAAAAAGAAATCTCTCAGCGCTTGTAACTGAAAAGTTATCAAAAAACAAAAAAAAAAAATGGGTGATTAATCAGGAAGAATTAATGAAATTTTTATTTTTAATTTTATTTTAAACTTTAGAACTAGACAGATATCTTATATTTTTACTTTGAACTATCCAGCAATCACTTTGGCCACTTCAAATGTATCAACCTGCATTTTTTGTAAACAAATGAACTTATCGCCTATGGTTAGTAATTTTATGTAATGGTTGAAACTGAAAAAACTGCGAAATATGCACACATAAACAAACGAATAGAAAAATGGAAAGCATTTTACACTGAACATAAATATGAATGATTAATTAAAATGTAATTAAAATACAAAACATCACTTCATTAACCAAAATGCAAAATATAATTCGACTCACTACAGCGAGAAATGAATTAAACAAAATCAAAATAGAATAAGTGTAAACAACATTTTTTATTCTAACAAAATGAAAAGGGATGAGGCGATGCCAGATGACGCCAAAAGATTCTAAAACCAGCCAACTAGTGGTATGTTTACAACATGACACACAATGGGACGGTAAAGATCGATCTAGTATTGAACAAGAACAGTTTGCTTCGCAAAAGGAACGTTTGTTACGCAGCTTAAATGTTTATATTCCCCATTTTTGAATGAGTAAAATAAATATACTGGTTATAGCTTATGCATGGTAGAAACAGATAAATAGTGACCTATGACCTATGTTTTCGAAATGCTCAACATACCGAATCAGTCGCAACTACTCTAAAATGGCATCATTGCACTGAGTAGGACCAAACGAAGTTTCCAAAAGAGTGCATGCTGATTATTAAAGTCCGTTTATGAGAAAATATTTAAACAATTAAAGAAATCGTTTCGTCCTAAATTCGTAACCTGTTATCATCAACGTTTCTGGTGTTTCGTAGGTTTAATTGCCAAAAATCACACAATTTATAAAAAAGAACATTTTACGCAAATCAAAAAAAAAAATAAATAAATAATAATAATAAACAAACAAATAAAGAAAAATTTATTAAAAGTTAAAAATGAAATCTTATCCCAACTAACCATAAAAATAGCACAAGAAACATTAAAGCCATACCAGCAAAATTATTTCAGCCCGGTTACAGACAAAAGTACGTAAATGCTACTGATTTAACAACAGGAAAAGAAGGAATATATCATTCACATGCACATGCATTAACATTTTTGTGGAACGGTAATGCTAAAACCACAAATTATGGCTTGTTTGTACATCCGTAAAATGTCACGGACGTCCTTTAGTTAACATGCAATGAGAAATGTGAACCGAGTTTTAAATTACAAAACAAATTTGGTTTTTGAAGGACAAAAGCTGGCAAAAAAATAGTCGGAAAGGGTAAACATTTATTTAAATGACATTGTTGTGAGTTGGTTTAACACTAATGTCCTTGTTTGGCATACAATAAGTGGTCAAAAATAAATATTTTTAACTATAGACACTATATGAGTACCAGACAGCACTATGGTATTTTAGCAGATATCAACTAATATATTTACGGAGGTTTATTGTTACGGTGAACAAACGAAATTTCGGTTTAAAGAATTTCTCATAATCGATAACAATTTAGTAGGCTAAAGGAAGTTTGCCAAGAAATTGTTGCGCGATTATTTTCCCTCAAATTGTCGACGTTAATATGGAGATTGCCGGCCCTTAGACGACGGAAGACTTCTCGGAGACTTTCAAAATGCTCCTTTTATGTTTTTCCTGCAACGTTTTCCTATCATGTCGTCCAAGCAGGCGAAAGCGTGAGGTTCCATATAAAGTCTAATTACGCTGCCCGCGAAGCATCGAGCAGTGATGTTGACAAGTTGTCTCACTATCGCTTTTTAAGAAGGTTCTATCGGCAAGGAATATGTTTGCTGGATGGGTCGCTCTTTTACATCTCGGCTTGGAAACTAATGGTCGCACAAGTACGAATTGTGACTCGTTGGCATGCGACGGCACTAGTAGCGCTAATATTGGTGTTTTCAAAACGTAAATTTGTGTCATTAGGCGGTATACCTTCCTCGGCTCACAGGTTCGGCATCACAGGTTCTGATCTTTGGGGTTTCGTTAGTCT